TCTCAAAAAGATTCCTCTGTCAGATATTGGCCATCTACATATGAGAGAGGGGAGAGAGGGAAATAGGGAGAGGGAAAGGAGTGCCTCTGAAAAAAATAACACAGTTGGAAACAAAACACTGGAGTGGAGTGAATCAGTGCTGAGGTGGCATCTTTCTAGAAACCTGGATGGCACATCTTGTTCACAGGCTCAGGCTCATACCAAACTGCCAGATCTGGAATCAAAGAAGAATTTTATTCCCAGACGGGCTGGCAACAAAAACAGAGCTTTTCACTTGGGTCTGCAAAGTGAGGTGTGATTAACCTGTTGAAAGCATCTCAGAATATTTCATTTATTCACTACCCCGGAGTTACAGGGGACTTGGTTTCCTTTGCTTTCTGAAAGTACAGTGCCAGGTACTCCTCTGAACTCTAGCCCAGCCCTTGGCTCTTTTTGAAAAATAATCTGGCTGAAATACAACAGTTTGAGGTCAGACAAGATACTATCTGACCTCAAGCTCTAGAAAACTATTAAATCTCTACATACCTACAGCAACCGAATTAAAAATGTTTAAGATTAGCTTCACTTAGAAATAATTTTAAGCTCACGAAACAAAGGAGTGAGAGTGTTTCACTTTCATTTCTGCAAGTTTCAATTCTTTCCTCCACCTCTCAGACTAGCATTAGAAAATTCTACATTTGAATTGCAAAAACTCAGCGTGAGGCTTACTTTCAAATAGGGGGGAAAGAAAGCCAAAAAACTTTGGAGAAGCTATTTCTACCCATTTACCTTTCCACTTCTTCCTCTCAAAGTTGTTCCACTAGACTTAACTCCCTCAAGCACACACATTTTGGGTCAAACTTTGACATAACAGGGCCTCTTCAAAAATATAGGCCAAGTTAAACTGTGAGCTCTTGCATTCTGAGCTGCTCTTCTGCAAAGCATTTCTTCTTAATCATTTCATTAGGAGCAGAACTGACTGTACCTGGTTTTTTGTGCTCCCCAGTCACAGTCTCACTCACAGCCCTTTGGGCAAACAGAGGAGACGTGCTGGGGCTGGGGGAACATAACCATGGACTGGTTTGCAGCTACTCCCTATGAGAAATGTAACTTCCTCTCCTTTACCGAGCCAGGATTGTTCCAGAAAACACTCACAAACTCGATGATCTTCTGACATTACTTCGAATATGCTCTAAAACACGGTCCCAACTGGCTGAAGGTCCAAAAGTAACCAGAAGAGTAACTGAAGGGAAAGCGAACGGGCTTGCAAGTTTTGTTTCCGCAGGGAGTACTCGATTAAATATAAACAGTGAAAGTACTACAAACATAAGTGTTATCACTCTCCTTCTATAAAACATTCCCTCCTTTGAGATAGGGAGATGTGTATTTTATCCAAGGCCTGCTTTTATCTGCCCCATTATGATTGTCCTTAAGCTCAAATCTCCCAGTCAGCCCTCCCACAGTAAGTGGGGTGATTAACCTCAGTGCCCCCCTCGCCTCTTTACCAATATAGCCCAGCTGAACTTCCTCCACAAAAATAAAAGGAAATTCTGCAAACAAAAGTTACAGCCAGTCAGGAACAACAGGAAAAGTTGTCTTCTGCACTCTGTTCATACTGCAGCACAGATAATGTCCACAGACACCCCTAATATGCTGGGGAAGATGGGCTTTTCTGGACTGTTTACAGCCTTAGGCCTGTTTTTCTGTCTGAGAACTTCCACAAACCATTCAAGCCTCTCCCATGTTCTGTGTCAATAATTTAAAAAAAGTTATCACACATTTATGTTTGTTTTATGATGAACAAGACATAACTTAGTACAAACTATTATGGATTCTTGATATTTTTCCAAAGCACTTAAAACTAAAACTACCAGAGATTACCGGGCACTAAAGCGCCTCAGGCTCCACCAGCACTAAACCCATCGGTATTCTTAGTAACAAACACAAGTGCTACACAGTGTTTCAGATCTCCCTGTTACTACAAACTATAGAATTTATCTTAGTAAGTATAATACTCCCAAAATCTATCTAGAAGAAAGCCAGTACAGTGCACACAAAATTTATCACACAAATCAGGGATGCAACAAAACACACTCTGGGCTCAGTGAAAATAAAGAACTCTGTAGGAAACCGATGCTGTGTTTACAGTGTGGAAGACCGAAAACTTCCAAGGAGTGATCACAAGGAGTGATCACTAGATTAACAACTGTGTATATATAAGTAAAAATATATACAATTGTAACAGCATGATATCTGAATTACAAAAGTACTGCTGAGTAACTGAAGTAACAAGAAAGGCTTTGCTTGATACAAAACTTAGTAACTATATCGGTGCAAATATCTTACAACTGAATTATGAAATGAGCAAAATCTGTTGGATGTGAGATCTGTAAGGGATGTGCTTGTTACACATCACTCTCTGCATTGACACTGTTTTTCCTACAGCACAGGGTGACTCACAGAGAAGGTGAGAGAGAGGCACGTCACCATCACCCAATGCCAAGAACACACTTTCTGACCCTACTTACTGCTGCTGACTCCCATTCCAAACTGGGGAAAGCCATCCTCTGTCACACTAGCCATGTAACTAAGCTACAACAGCTTCCTTACCTCTCCATTTCATACAGGCTTCTCATGCTTTAGTCCATTTTGGTTCTGATACTGGGTTTTACTGTCATAGTCTACTTCACAACTGACTGCAGCAAGCACTGGAGCCAGAGGAGGGGCAGCACCTGCCTCAAATCTCACGTATGCTGTGACACACATGCTGTGCTCAGAGCAGAAACTGCTCCAAGGTAGCTCCAACTTTAAAAACAAACACACACAACACTTGCACCAATGCCTCTGAGGAGGCTGGAAAAACAGCACAGCAATGCACAGGTTTAAAGCCTTTCAGAGGCTAAACTGGCTTCCGGAGACCTGAACGGATCATGAAACTGGCTTAAAGAGCGGCCACACACTGAACTCAATTTATCCAACTTGCTCTTAACCTCCCTTTATGCGGTGCTTATGCTACATAAACATACAGCAGTAAGTATTTGTGGCACCTGGATCTCGTATTTAAACAATAATGATCCCTTCACCCCAACTGGAATCCTTGAGGAAGGGATGGCCTTTGAACTACTTCATACCAGTCGCAAACTTCTTGCTGAAAAAAGTATTTCATACATCAACAGAAATAAAAAAAATAAAATCTAAGAACGTCTCACAAATTGTTTTTTCCCAAAGATTTGCTGAAACCTTCAAATCAAAATTATGAACCAAGGATACAGTATGAGTACATCTGCATGTATGCATGCATTTCTGACGAAAAGAAAAAAAAGTAAAAATTAGATTCGTGTGCATTGTTACAAAATTTAGGTAATTAGTTTTTAGGACTTCTAAGTTAAACAATTTATCAAACAATACACAAAATCTTCCTAATGTGCCAAAAGCACTAGAAATGTTGACTTTCACTAGATTGCTTCCATTGTGTGAATTAATCCACTAAGAAATTGCAGGATCCTCCTTTCTGTGAGTTCTCAATAAAAGTCAGTACCGGTACAACATTATTTCATTAAGCTAGCGACAAAAATAAAGTTAATTTAGTAGAAATGCTTTGTAAAATTTCAAAAGCCAGTATTACAAGTAGAAAACAGGATATACTCTCAGCTGGGCAAAATTCTGAATTGCCTTACAGCATCACTATGAACACACAATCCAAAGCCATCACTCTGACAAGCAGATCCACACGACATTTTACAGGAGCTCCCCAGGAATATCTTGCTTTCAAGTAGGACACAGGGAAATCCCGCTCCCCTTTCTTTCTCCCCACAGCAGCAATTGCCTCCAGAGGAAGAAGCAGGTAAATGCCCTGCACTGTGCAGGTGTTCCACAGCATCCAGCAGTTTCTTTTCCCCTGCAAGCTTAGGTAGGAGAGAAAAGCCCCAGCTGTCCTCTGTGCAAGAAGAGAACACAGAAGGAACTTTCTGATCCCTTCGTGTTTATCTTCTGGGAACATATCTCAACATGTATGTTCTGGGAAATTGCAATTTTATCCCAAAATTAATTTTATGAAGGTATTTTCACTAAAGTTAAGTAGAAAAATGATTAAAAAAAGCTCAGTGCAAAATTGGCGTTTGCAAAAGAGACCTCTTACTCCTAATATAGCACCTTCTGCCAAATACTGTAATTAAGTCATACTTCCATGGCTGGCTTACTTTTCTTGTCACGGAAATAATTATGTCATAACTATCTGGGGTCAGACTAGCCAAAGAGCACCTACTGAAACTGGAAGCACAACTCAAACCCATAAAAAAACACATATCCTCTATTTTCAAGCAAATGCAATGACCCTTGAATCCAGGACACGTTTCAGGAAGCCAAGTGACATGGAGGTGGCAGGGATACAAAAAAAATTATTAGATCCATACTTAGATACAACTATGTTTTTAATGTACTAATCTCTACCTTAGCCTAAATCCGATTATATTTTTTCTCTGCATGTTACGAGCTCACCCTCCTCCTCCCAGAAACAACCTTAAAAGAGAGGAGGCCTCAGGTAACATGTCACATTCAGCCAGCTGGCAAATCGCAACCTATTGCAAAAGCGGCAAAGTCGTTCAGCTGTATTTGTACATAAAATAAGCCAACAAAAGAGCACGACCACGTCGGCGAAGAGATGCCTGAGTGTCACATCATAACTCACGGAGAGCGGAGGGGGCACAGCCGGCCAGGGCAGCCCCGACACGGGGCATTTCCCCGCGGGCCCCGGGGGTCTCTCCCCCCGCCGTATTTAATCGCACAGGGCGTGCGAACAACAACCCGCACGCAGCAGCCCCAGCCCGGATGCGCCCCGGGGGCGGCCCCGGCCCCCGCTGACCTTGGGGCGGCCCCCGCGCCGCGACCCCCGGCGGCCCCCCTGCCCAGGCGCGGGGCCCGAGGCCGCCACGGGCCGTCGAGGCGGGGCAGGGCTGGGCGGGGGGCGCCGGCGCGGACAGGCCCCCCCCACCCGAGCGCGGCCCCTGCCGCCCCCGCCCCGGGCAGCCCCCGACCCCGGTACCTGCGTGCGGCGCTAGCGGAGCGGACGCGGCGCCCCCGCCATGCCCGGCCGCGGCTGCTGCAGGCCCCGACGGCAGCGCCTCAGTCCGGCCCGGCCGCCATGTCAGCCGCGCCGCGCGGTGCATTGTGGGGCGAGGGCGGGGGGAGCGCCCCGGGGGCGGTGGCGCTGAGGGCGGCGGCTGACAACGACCCGGCCCGGCCCGGGGGGACCCCCGGCCGCCAGGGGAGCCTCCTGCTGCCTTAGAACTCCCCCTTGGCTGAGGGGCCGACGCGCCCCGCTCCCCAACACTCCCGGCGCTCAGGGCCTCCCTCCCCCAGTGCCACAGCAGCAAGCGGGGATGAGGGAATACGCGGAATAAGCAGCACGGTTTTTTCTTAATCCCCCCCAACAGCCATCCTAATTTCCCCCCTCCTTTTCTCAGCCCAGGCCTCTCCTTACGCATAAAATCATCAAGGTTGGAAGAGACCTTTAAGATCACCCAGTCCAACCATCCACCCAGCGCTACCACTGTAACCCTTAAAGCTCTGAACCACATCATCCAGCGCCACATCCAGGCGCCTCCTAAACACCTCCAGGGACGGTGACTCCACCACCTCCCTGGGCAACCATTCCAATGCCTGATCATCCTAACAGTGACATTTGTTTTCCTAATAACTAATCTGAATCTGCCGTCTCAGTTTAAGGCCATTTCCTCTCATCCTCTCACTGCAGGCACGGTAGAAGAGACCGGCCCCTCACCACAACCTCCTGTCAGGTGGTTGTAGAGAGCGATGAGGCACCTGCACCCCCAGGCCCCGTGGAGCTGGGTTAGGGCTCCACGGAGCCCCACGCCACAGCCCCGGCCTTGCTGCCCCCTTCCCCAGGGCTTCCCCTCCTCTTCCCCTCCTCTCCAGTCGATGGAGAAGGGCAGGTATGCCCCGGGGACACTGGGGAAGTGGCTCCAGGCTCCCTGACCTTGGCTACGGAGCTGGCCCCGGCAGCAGCCCGGGACAGCAGCTTGGCCAGCACGTCTGCTGGCAGTCTGCAGGTCTCCAGAGAGAAGAGCCAGCCTGCCAGCTCTTAGCAGTGCTGGACGGTGACCTAAAGGCACTGGCAAGTGCTTGTCTGAAGCAAATCCCTCTGTGAGCCACTACTACCCCTTTTTGGCACTGAAATGCCATGTTGGCACTTGAGGCTAAGGAGGCCTTTCCAGAAAAACAAGGCATGTAAAAGATTAGTCTTGAACTACTATAGGGGTTCAAAGGAAAGTATTAAAAATAACAAGAACAGGAGTGCTGGAAACACTGCCTCAGGGAGTATGTGCAGGTAAACAAAAGTTGCAAAATCTGTAATACTGGATTCTATAAATACTGACGATTCATACTTCTGAATGTATTGTGAAGTCAGCACAATCCTGACTAGGGGTAATGTGCTATTTTTTTGGTTCACTTGAAGTTCACACTTTACAAAATCAGGACTGGATAATTCAGGGATGTACTACAGAGGTTTCACCTTCAGGAACGTGAGCCAGGTCAGTCCAGGGCAGCAATGACAGAAACAGCAGTGCTGCCCTGGGGCCAGCTCAGGTTAACTGGGTGGTGGTTTCAGCCAGTCCTGTTTGACAAAGATTTTTATTAGGTTTCATAGGTCAAAGAGTAAATTGCAAAAGTAACCTAATTATACTTGCTGCTGGATACAGTCCTCCTAGATCAACATTTAGACATGCTAGTGAGCAAACACACACCAGTTTGCAAACCTGACTAGCATATTTCCTTCAAATAGTTGGATAGACTTTAATATGAAATGTTAGTGCAGTTTGGCTCTGAAAACTTGAACCATTTATAAAGCCGGGAGTTTTTGACATAGTTCCTCTCTGTGTTCAGGAACAATGCTTCCTTCTTTGCTGATGTTAAAGAATGTTTTATTGCAGGGAGCAGTATAGAAACATGGCAGTAAAAGAGGAAGCTGAGTTCTACTGCCAGTTGGCAGTAGAATTTAAAGAATTATTTAAAGAATTCCCAATTCAGTGCCAGTGATCAAAACCTTTTAGTTTCTGGGCTCATTTTGTAGGACAAAATAGAATCCCGAAAGCCACTAAATTTTATCTAGAAATCAGAGACAATAGACATAAAGCTGTAGGAAGCAGATTTTATAAAGTCCCTTTCCAGAGCACAACTTGCTTATCTCCTGTTGCAGTATGACACCTCATTTTCAGTCCCATCCCCAAAGTACTATAACATTATGCCTAAAAAATGTAGAAGTGTATTGTAGATTTCTTTTTCATTTTCTGGCCAAAAAATGCTGTTGATCACCATCGGAATGATTTTTAAAAATTACTTTTAGGATTTACTAGGTTTTTAACATCTATTTAAATGTATCTACTGCATTAAGGCCCTGTTCTCTGTCTCTAGCTGTGTTGGAAGAAACTCTAAAACTTCTTAGATAATTTACTTATCAAATGAGGAAATCATACTTGACTGTCATCTCAAGGATAGGTTCCTGGTCAATACTACAGCCAGAAAACTTTACAGAAAGATAGAACTTGTCTGTGAAGAACTTCAGGTTCTTACAACTGTATCTTCCCAGCATAGTACAAGATTTTCTATCTATATATTTTTGTAGCATATTACATTGTTTCTTGATGTTGGATGTCTACTTAAGCTGAAATACATAACAAAGATGTGAAAATCTGAAATGCTTAAAAACTATAATTAAATTTGTCAACTAGCTATACATGTCTTCTTCACTTACAGTAATGCCAGTCATGCTTGAATTACCTAAGCAAATTTAATCAAAATGTCAAAGATCTACCAAAACTCAGTTAAAAAAAGAAAATAAATCACCAAGTGAGATGACAAAATGTAATTTGCTCTTCAAAAGATAAATTTCCAATATGCCTTGGAGGTTCTACTTAATTGTTTTCTGTAAATCGCTGCATTTTGCTTTTCTTTGCCAAGAACTATCAGAATCCCAGCCATGGGTGACCAGTTTCTTGGGCCAAGAAAAAAATCAATGACCATTTAATGCTTTCTATTGTTGATACTTTATATGTCCAAATCCTTTTCTTCCAGCAGGCGTAGGAGCAAAATTGTACAGATGGCAGGTTTTTGTTGCAGGCAACCCAAGAATGACATCAGTGCACTGAAGCAGTGGTTTGGTTCTGCATGTCTGAAAACTTTGGTACCAAATTCAGTTCCTGATCCTTAATGCCTCTTTCTTGCTTAAAAACTCTTTGGTAATGTCGTTTCCCCCATACCACACTGTAGGACCAGTATTGTGGTCACTCACTCCTCCTTAAACAGGAGCTTGTAAAGACGAATTTCCTGCAGGCCTGGTTCATGTGGTGGTGTCCCATGTGATGTTCTGCACAGTGTTTGTAGTTCTGGGTTTGCTGACTGTAAGCTGGGACTCTTGTTCAGAGCACTCACGTCAGTAACCAATAGCAACCAAGCCATTGGTATCCTTTGACATTACACCGTAGTTACCAGATGCTATACTTAGTACACTAAAAAAAGGCACTTGCCAATCTGTCAAAAATCATAACAACTCTATCCCTTATTTTCCCAGGACGCAGTTAAAGCAGGAACTTTAAATCTGACTGGATTCCACAGACTGTTCTCGAGCCGACCAGTACTTTAAAACCACGTACAGTACTCAATGCACCACTGCCACCATGAAATGCTCCATGTCAGAGTGCGTGGATCCTCCATAAATCCATCCTGCTGAGGTTTGGTGTGGACAGAGCTTGAGGAGTGCTGCAAAAGGCCGATTTGCAGCAGCCGGTCCTTTGCGGCGGCGCTGTGCCGGGCCGGGCAGAGCGGCGGCGGCCGTGCAGCATGCTGGATCCGGAGGGCAGTGTGGAGCATCAGCCTTCCCCTTCCTTCCCCAAACTCCTGCTCATCCCTCTAGCCATGCTCCTCGCAATTGCAGCGCTCCTGCTCTTAGCCTTTTCCGCCACGCGGCAAAAAGAGCCTGATTTTTACACTTTCAAAGTTGTAAACATCAGGGGCAAGTTAGTCTCCCTGGAGAAGTACAGGGGCTCGGTAAGTCCCGCGGTGCTGGGCTCTGGCCCAGGCTCACTAACAGCCAGTCCTTGCATGTCTGCGGGGCGAGAGGGGGGGGGGAGAGCACAGAAACTTGGGGCACAGTCTCGTGTAGGTCTGGGTTTATCACTCTTTATCTCACCACTCTAACTGAGGGCAGTGCTGCCTGCATGCTGCCTGGGTGCCGCTCCCCACATCTCTGCACTCCTGTTTAGCGATGATATCTAGTTAATACAGGCTCCTTCTCAATAAATGTTTGCAGTCTAACCCCTGTGTGTGTCTGCGTCTTCTCCCGGGGCAGGCGGCTGCTGCCTGTAGACGTGGCAGGCAGGGAATGCTCCCCGCCTGCCGTTCCTGCAGCAGGATGGATTGCACTGGATCGTGGCTGTTCACTTGGAAGCTCAGGAAGTTTGTGTCTTTGTGTAACTTACTTTTGGAGCTTATTTCTGCCTTTTAACCGCATGACTTCTTGTATATTATTTTTACTTAAATCCCATTCCTTTTTAATGTTCTACATTGAAAAGAAAGGGATTTAGTCAATGGCTAATGGAGTAAACAGATTTCACCGTAGTTAGTGAAAACGTGAGAGACATTATAAAGTAGTTATTGTAATATCAGAGTATAATGAAATTGTAACATCATGCTATTCCTCTTTCACTTTTTAGTGCGTGAAGAAGGGCATGTAGACACACATATACTTTATGATGTCTTTTAAATTTTATTTACATATTACTTTAGGGAGTTTTAGACAGAGCTTTCCATGCCATTTTAAAACAGTGTCCTTGACTATACTGTGATTTTATTTTAGTTTAGGTAATTTAGTTTTTCAGTGGTTTGATCATCTAGAAAAGATGGTCAGTACCTATGAAAGAGTGATAAGGGAATTTGGCACACTGAAGGCTTAATACTATAAGCTCTTATGGCCCCACTCACAAGTTACAGAAGCTAAAATCAACATAAATCCCACAAGTGCCCCCTTTAGCACTCAAGTGACACATCTGTGACACTTGCAGGCAGTCCGACAGCTTACCTGCTGCTCAGAAAGGCACCACCTCTTCTCGCTTTTAATGTCCAGTATTGTGTTTTCACCTTCCTTTTCCCCTCCTCAGGTGCTTCACTGAGGTGTCTGAGCTCACTAGTGCACAGCAGCAGGTCACTGAAACATTGGCAGATAGACAGAGAAGGCATATGGGGAGATGCACATTTTCCTGAGCTCAGCAGAAAGGGATACTGGTGGAGTTGGAACAAATGATGGGACTGAATCTTACCTGGTCAAAGTTCTCATCTCCCTCCATGCACAATTCAGATACAGCAGAACTGGTCCCATGCCCACTCCAATATCTCTAGTGGAAAAAAACATGGAAGCTGTTTAATATTGAGCAATATTTGTGCTTTTTTAATCAGTTCCTTCCAAAGGCTCTGTCAATAAATCCTGCTACTGGGGCATGTTTTGTCTGCAGGTCATTGCAAATCTGAATAAGCAAGTACCACCTGTAGCTTCTCTACCTCGGGGCCAGAATCCACATAGAAAGGAGTTAAGGGGGAACTCAGAATTCCTTACAGAGAGCTGTGGGTGTTCATCCCCCCTGGAACAAGCTGCAGAGCCTAATTTGGAATCTTATGAACAGGAAGTTGGGGGGGTGTGCCTGTATCCCAGTGCTATGATTCCAGGCCATCCTTGAGGCGTGACTGGTTTCGTAAGGGAGAGTTCTAGATCTGTACCTTGGGAGAGGGAACAGCATTGATGAATGGTATTCCTTGATCTCTGCTAGGCCACATGGAATAGTTGATTCCAAAAAGGTGATGACCAGCTTCTGTGTGGATAAAAAGATTTACATTCAGAAATCCTATTGATGTTCAGGCCAGCTGCTCTTTGATAATGCACGAGCACCATTTTAAAGAAAATTGCAGCAATAAAACACATCCCTTTCTGTCATTATGTTGTCAGAACTCAGTATCAAGATAGAAAAAGGTTAATTAAAACTCCCATTTATTTCTTAAAATAAACTTGCTTAAATCTGCAGTTAAATAAGTAGTGTTAAGGCGTAGGTTTATCATAATATTTTAAAGCTATTAAAAGCAAATAATATTAAAGTACTACGTGTGTGCTGGTGGTGTTCTAAAGAAAGTGAGTCACTAGTTACCTCCTGGAACAATTGTCTGCTAATTGCCAAACCAGCTTTTAACAGCCTTAAGCTTTCTGGCAGATGTAGAGAAGACATTTTCTTCAATTCAGTCACTCAGCTAATTTATTTAAATAGCTACCTAATTGGTAGTCAAGAAAATAACCGGGAATTGAAAAAATCCAAAAGCTTCCAGACTACAAAAAAAAAAAAAAAAAGTGTGCTAATTCTAAAAACACAAAAGCTGTGCTAAGTATAAACAATCAGTGCAATTAATGACTTGCAGAATCTTTCTTCAATAACTCATTATTAATATAGATTTTTGCACATTCAGATCACTGAAACAATTTTTTCCTAGTACCGATTGATATTATATCAATTTCTATTTGAGTTCATCTTCATAAAAAAGTACCCTCTGTTATATAGTATAGAAGAAATAGACTAACAATTATGCAATAACAAAAATTAAATATATCAGAGAACAGTTTGTTGTTTTTCTCTGAAATAAATGTGCACAGACATAATCTCCCCTTTAATAAAAATACTGAAAATATGTAAGGGAGTACTCCCTTTCTATGGGGGTATTACATTGCCAGAATGCTAAAAATTTGGCATATGTGCTACAAAATCAGGTATTGTGTGACATGTACCTGGAAGCAAAGACAGGAATGACTATGACAACTGAGAAAAAAGTATCATGAGTGGAACAGACCCCAAAACTGTCTGGTTTACTGTGTTATGGGAGAAGGCCATGGTTTTTCCAGGCTTCTATACTGATGCTGACCCCTCTACATTAAAAATGAGGGGCAGTGATACGTGGCTGGACAAGAATCAAGAGGATCCAGACAAGCTCAGTTTTCTATCTAACCTATCTCCCTACCTAATTCAAGAATCTTATCTTTCATTTTATGATTTGAATCAGATATGCTGTAAGATATATTCTTACCAAAAATAGCGCCTATTTGGGAGTCAGAACTCCCAAGCATCAACTGTTCTCTGCTGTTTTTGTGCCTGTCTTTGATATAATAGTCCCAAGCTACCCCAGAGCTGAGTACAGTGTGCTGGGGTGGAATCAAGCAGCATCAGTGCAGTGCCTTTGGAAATCCTGAACCAAAGGTACTATAATCACGTAAAAGCATCAGGCACTATAACTACCTAAGTATTATTTTACTATTGGAAGTAATGCCAGGCACTTTGGATCAGAGCTCCCTGCAGTCTGAGTGTGTGTATTACTGAGTGTGGGTAAATGCAGAGAACAGCATTTAATTACTGCACAAATACTGCTCTTTTTTCCCTGGAGGTAACAGCTCTGTGAGTTGGTGTAAGCTGACTCTTATGGCTCAGATGGAGCCAGTTAAGAATCTCCAGGTCTGAAAACCCTGCTGAAAGATCCACAAAGGGTTACTTGAAGATGAGACCAGACTCATAAATCTGTTCAGGGACCATTCCCTCACGGAGGCACCTTGGTGTAAACATCAAGTAAACCAGGAAGTCTTTTTGCAGTGTTAAATAAACGAGTTCACTACTAGAATGCCTGGGTTTTCTAAGCAAAGGGAAAGACAGGATAGTGTGAAGAGGTCAGACAAGAGCTAATAGAGAATTCAGCTTAAATGAAATGATTTTTGTGAGGTCCATGATGAACTGTTTGCACTGCACACTAGGTGGTGTGCTTGACCTGCACTCTCAAGAACCTAAAGTCAAGCATATTGAACTTAATTTAAAGCATTAATAGTTGTAAGAAGTCAAAGTACAGCCTCTACATGAGAACAAAAAGAGTTACTGTTATTTATTAAAAATAAAATATAGACAAAAAAAAATCATCACATTTAATCGCTTCTAGTACCAGACACTTGAAAGATTACTTGGTAAAGGTTTTTAAAGAATAATTTTAAATGTTCCTTATGAAATATCAATAAATCCTGCAAGTGTTGATTATATGTGTTAGTTACACTTTTAGGAGGTTTGCACTATTAAATTATGGAGTTCAGTAGTGGAGAATTCAGTTACAGGGAGAGCATTTTTCTAAGGAAAAAGAAGCATAATGTGTTTGCTATACAAAAAAATGCTGTGTGTAGTTCCCTTCTATTTTGTGGGAAGTTGTCTGGAAGTTTGCACTATTTGCGCCGTGAGCTCTCAAGCCTTTCACCACCATGCCAAATAATCACTGATTTTAAACAGCTGTAAATTAAAATTGATTCTTTTTGAGTGAATTCTTTCAAGCCCTCTTTTTGCTTAAAATCAAGCAAAAGTTATAAAAGCTTGATTGTTTTCATCTTTCATATCTGTTTTAATATGAACACAATGCCTACTCAAGCTTATTCCCCTAAACCTCCAATGAAAAATTCTTACATTTCCACACTATTTGGGATAAAGTACCAATAGATGTGAATACAATAAGGTATGTGAATACTCCTGCATCATGAAAATGCCAAGCCTTAAACTATATTTTAAAAAGCTTCTAAAATTTCATATGAAAGAGCTACATGTGACTTCAACTCTTAGTGGTACAATTTATCTTTACTTCGTACTAAACTACAGTTATCACTATGCTTGGTAAATCAGATTATTTGAAAGGAACAGAACTGCCAATAGTTATTTTTTGTGACCAATATATAAGTTCTATTTGAAATGCTGACAGTCTGCAACAGGAATTCATCATAAAATTATTATATCCTCTCTCAAAAAAAATCTACTTATGTGCCACATCTTCGAGTGTTTTAGGAAACTGAATTTAAAATTTCAGGCAGAGCTTTTAAATGCCTGAATGAAAGTGATGCTTTGGGGGTTGGCTGGGTGGCTGCAGGTCATATTTCATATGCAAGTGTCCAGGGAGTGCTTGGATTGTGTTCTGTTGACACCACACCACAAAGATTACACCAACTTGTGTTTTGTGAGATTACCTGTCTTCCAGGGAGAACAGTGCCATTCCCAAACCACTTTAAATTCAGGAGTTGGACCTTGTGAGTCCCTTCCAACTCAGGATATTCTGTGATTTGCTATAGTGATATACCTACACAAGGTAGAAAACACAAAGTAAGTGTTAATGTAAGAAATTATAAACACCAACACCCCGTTACCTTTTTCTTTACTCATTCCTACCCCTTCCAGGCCTTTCATTTTATGAGCCCATACCTTTCTCAGCTAAAGGCTTTTATAAGCCAGTTTGTTTTCTGGCCTTAAAACTCCTATTTACATGTAGTTATTTATTTTTTGTATACTATAATTTCTTTGACACGCCTCATTTCCCTAAATACTTTTATATTCTATATGAAAGTATTAGAATGGACTCAATTTATGTAGGATGAGCAGCAACTCACACTTACAAAATTTGTGAGAGTAATAAGAACTATGTCTAATAATAAATCCCAAAAGTTATTTAAGGATAAAATATCTCAAAAAACAATGGAAAATTCCTCAAAGCTTTGAGAAACTGTAATATGTGTCAGTTCAGGGTGAGGTCACTTATTTTCTCCAACAAATTCTTGGTGGAACCTGTTCCACACGTGCCTTTATTTTCCTGTGGTGCTCACCTGTGTGTGATACCTTCCTCCAGCTGGATCTGCCTGTTGGTAATATCTGAATGACACCATGTGCACAGGTTGGACATGATCCAGCACAGGAAAGATCTTAAAGGATAGTGGGCAGTCTTCGCTTCTTGGAATCTCTAATTGAGGCAGTAAATTTTTGTGAAAAAAACTGTTGTCATTTTGTCTCAACTGAGTAGATTTACTCTAGAAATGGCAGAAGATTTTGCAGCCCATTCTGCACAGACCAACCCAAAATCCTGTAATTGCTTCTATTAACTTCCAGGTCAAGACATTTAACCAGCAATGATAAATGGATCAGCCAGTTCTGTATGGGTACTAAATTCTGCACAGGGAAAGATGATGCAGAGCAGATGTTTCACAACAGATAAATAAAAAACAAAAAATACATTGGTTTGCAAGTTTCTTTCATGCAACTTGGTCTATCGTAGCTGAATGGGCACTTCTTGAATATGCTTAGAAACTATCCAAAGGGCAGAATGGAGAAATATAGGTTCTCTGAAAACTAAGATTGCTTAGAAGTTTATTGATTATTTTCATCATTGCCAAGTAGGAATACATGAAAGAAATATTAAATGTTCCTATTGTGAACAGAACTCGATGTAGTTTCAAATATGTATTCAGTCACAGTTCTCTAGACATTCTTTCTTTTTTTAAATAATCTGCATCCCAGCCTACCTGTTGGAAAGCTGACGTGTCTAACACATTTTTCAATCTCTTTTCAGGTATCACTGGTTGTCAACGTTGCAAGTGAGTGTGGGTACACAGACAGCCACTACAAGGCCTTACAGCAGCTGCAGAGGGACCTGGGCCCCTACCATTTCAATGTGCTGGCCTTCCCCTGCAACCAGTTTGGGCAGCAAGAACCAGACAGCAACAGAGAAATCGAGAGTTTTGCGCGAAAGACTTACGGTGCCTCCTTTCCCATGTTCAGCAAAATCACAGTCAGCGGGGCTGGAGCAATTCCTGCCTTCAAGTACTTAATTGGTGAGTAATCCGGAACACTGGAGGGTTGTTTCTCCAGTGTAGAATTCCTCTGATACAAAATAACATCTGACAGAAAAAAGATCCCTATGATTGTGTTCACAGAGTTGGCAGGCTCAAAGAGGTCAGAAGTCACGTAGCCCTTCTTGCACAAGGCAGGATTTCTCTCTCTGTCACCTCTGACAGCTTTGTCTTACCTTCTAAAAAGATCTCCGGAGGTGAGGACAGCTTTTACAGTTGTCCTGTAAAAGCTCATCTAATAAACCTCTACATAGGATATAGATTTTGAAATATTCCCCTGTATACATCCAACACCTGACCTTCCGTTTTCTACTTTGCAGCCTCGTAAGTGCTCCTCCTGTGACAGGAGTGCTGCAGGCTGGATTTATAAGATTCATCTCAAGAGATGTAGCATAAGTGGAAGCAAAGCACCTCATAATTTACTTCAGCAATCAGAAAGTGAAACTGGGCACTAAAGGATGTCCTTGAATACTCCCTTCCTCATTCCTCCCCAAGCGTTGGAATAGCCATGTCCAGTTCTGCCAGTTCCAGTCTGCTTTATAGCACTGAGACATGAAGAGCTTTGCAGGTCCTTAGCACCAGCTGACAAAATACATTGTAAGGCAGGATATTCTTTATCAAGGCACTATTTTTCTTGCACTGAACAAACGCTCTAAATACCATTTAAATGCTAAATTAAAATGTCAGTCTTAACCCAACGTGAAGGAAATGTCTTCCAACAATGAAATAAAGCTCAGTGAGACACAGAATTCCTTGAGCTCCATCCTGCAAGGACTGTGTCGCTGCTGCTTCTCTGCAGTGTTTGCCCACATACCACTGAATTTAAATGAGTAGTGATAATATTTGTGACTGTCCCAAGCACACCTCCTTCCAGGTGTCTGTGATGGATCTCTCTGCTAGGCAAACTTCCCTTTAATCTTCTTCAGGTCCTTCCGTTTCTGTTTTCCCCAGCAGGGTTGTTCCTGCAGACATCTCACATGAAACTTGCCAAACTTGTGTTTCCCTGTTGTCCCACAGGAAGCAGGAGGCTGCTGGAGGCAGCATTTAAGCAGCACAGTATAGTCTGGCTCTGTCTTGGTGGTACTTTGAAATATCTTCTAATTCCTCCTGAGGTTTTGCTCAATGTATAATCAGTGGAAAAAAGATGCTAATTTGTCTGTAGCATCTGTACTTGTGCTTTTAGTGGGATGAGGTTCCTGTGCTAATTGAAAATCCTGAAAATTTTATTAGTCACGTTGCAGAACAGTGAAGGATAAGAATTCGACTTGTGTAAAATGAGTACGTGGCCAGGGAGGGAAAAAGTAGACGAGGAGTAGGAGGAAACCTGGAACAATTACTTTGTTACTTCATGTAACATTTGTTGAAACAATCTTCTGAAGCACCTGACACTGGGTGCTTTCGGAGGGAAAATTCTGGGTAAGCAAGTAATCAGTCCTGGTACAGCTACACTGTGATGCCAAATACCATTTTCCTATCAAAGTCCACTGTTTCAGGTTTATCTGGGTGGCACAGACACACACATGCCCTCACACACTTTAACAACCATTCTAGTGCTTTCTCCTGTCTGTCTGAAGCTTCCCTGTTCCCATTAGTCTCCGGGGGGTTCCTGTCTAATTAAAGCTCCCTATCTGTCAGAAAATTAATCTTATTCAGTCTGAACTCCCTATTTTACGTTCCTCCTTCCTCTGAGAGGGTAATCATCAAATTGATAGGAACAAATGTCAGGAATTGCCTCATGTGTTTTTCTAATATTTCACTTTTTCGCCTGTAGATTCTACAGGAGAAGAACCAACCTGGAACTTTTGGAAATACCTGGTGGACCCCAATGGGAAAGTAGTAAAGGCCTGGGACTCTACTGTCTCTGTGGAAGAAATAAGACCTCATGTTACAGAACTTGTAAGAAAAATCATCCTGAAGAAGAAAGATGAATTATGACTTTCAAAAATACCAGCATGCCAATTACATCTCTGTTGAGAATTAGGACGGGCCTTTGTCTTTTCACATTCCAAAAGAGAGAATATGGGGAAGGGAAATTAGGACCAGTTGAATCTATAGTCACCATTCTAAGAATGTAGAAAACAGCAAGTTAGCATGGTCTAAGTAATTTAGATTTTTTTCTCCAACTGAATTCAGTTTGACCTTTCTGGGAAAAAAGAAATTCTCAGTAATTGTTTCTTCCCCAATTCAAGTTATTCATTGTGGGTAACACTATAGGAAGTCAGTTAATGTATTTGTAGGAAGAAGACTCAGAATAATGAGAATTTCCTAACTGGGTTCTCACTGATATCTACATTTTTGTTATGTTTTGACACAAACTGAATAAAATAAAGAGTAAAAAGTGCATGTGCTAAGGAGAGAGACAAACCAGGTACCTTCAGCCCAGGCAGACTTGCATGGATATATGCCTTTCCAATTACCACAGCCAAACATATTTCATTTCATCTGTCTAGAAAGTCAGTTTAGAAGGGCATTGGGGAAATACATCTATTAAATAGAAATGGAAGAAATATGAAGACAAAGTCTCTTTAAAAATTCTCCACAAACTATGGGAAGAATTTCTATATTTTTTCACCAAGTAAAGATTACCAGATGATATTTAAATAGTCATTTGAACATCTGTAGGACCAGAGCCTATAAGAAATGGCTGTTTCTTTCTTCTGAGAGCATTTTGTCTTAGAATTACTCTCACTCATAAAACTCTCATAAAACTGATGTTAAATTTCTTTTACAATTTATGACACCATCCAATTTTGCTGCATGTACAAACATTAGACAATCGACATCTTTTCCATGGAGTTAATTTTTGCAAATATTTAATTCTTACATAATGTTACCTAGTTTAATACCACATTTATGTTACAAATTATTAATGTCACCTTTTCAGGCATCTGCTCAGCTCTCAGCCTGCAGAACTCCTTAGCTCACACTAAAATAATAACACCAACAATTGCAGCCTCATTGTTCCTTGACAGAAACCTTTTGAAAATCTTGTCAGATGAACTCTTTGTGTCTTGACAAAAACACAATGTTCCCATGCTCTTAACCCCAGGATGCTTTAAGAAGACTCTAGTCTTGTCCAATTGCAGTATTATTGACAAGTGAAAGCTTTTTTCTGCTTTTTAATGTTTTTTCAGGTAGCACAAACAATGTTTGTCCATATAGTTGTCAGGGCCCAAGTGTACAAATAAGCCCTAATTGACCTGACCACAGTAAGGACTTTTTCCAAGTCATCACTGCCATTAAAGCTCTTCAGTGTCCAAACAGGCTCTAGGGGAAATCAAAGGCAAGCATTGTGGCCTGCACTGATTTGCAGAACAAGAGGGGAAAGAAGAGACGTTCTGTGGAGCTGTCTAAGGAAGTAAGAGCTTGAGGTACTTTAGGATTTCCAGAAAGACTGTGAAGGGCAGAGATTGTACTGGACAAAACAATCTCAAATTGCCTGAAAGAAGCTGAGAGTGAGGTTTTTTAGTTTTAGTGAAAAAAAAAAAGGGAGGCATGTGGAAGAGAGAATAAAAGGAAGAAGTAACAGAAGAACAAAAGAAAAAAGATATCAAGTAAAAAGGAAGAAATGAGAAGGAAATGAAAAGACAGTTTGCAGCCAAAGAATCTTTGGGACAAATGGGGCATAGAAATGTTCCAGTCTGAACATTGATACTAATGAGTATGTTCCAAGCTATATCAGCTACTTCTCACTTGAACTGTAACTTAAGAGTGCAGGAAATTGGTGCTTGTGGCAGTGAATGTCTGTATTTTCCTCTTCTGGTGGTGAGGAAAGTGAACTCTATGGTTGATTCAGTCATTTAGTCTATTCTTACAGGGATCACTCTAAGACAATGGTTGCTAAGGATATCACATAGAGAGGAAAATCAGATTCAGCTGATACTGTGCTGGGATAGAGAACCCAGCTGCTACAAAAGAAACTCTTTATTATCCATAGACTGTTTTTCTCTGTCCCTTGATATTGATACAGAGCCCCAGCATTCTGTTAGCAAGTGCTGCAGGGCTCAAAGTTTTCCCCTTAAGAAGTATGGTTCTGTTTTATAGCTGAAGCCTGGATGAGCCCAGACCAGGCTTTTAAAAACTTTTTAGGCCCTTTCTATTTCAATTTTGTGTGTCCAACTTCAAACAGAACTCTGGATTTACATAGAAACAATCTCCCATTCTCCACCAGACAAATTCTACTAGTCTAAAGAGATGCAATGGCAAGAATCAGTTGGAAAGGTTTTATACTATATGGACAAATATTGTTTGTGCTGCTTTTAAAGGCATTACAAAGCACAAAAAAGCTTTCACTTGTCAATAATACTGCAATTGGACAAGACTAGAGTCTTCTTAAAGTATCCTGGGGTTAAGAGCATGGGAACATTGTGTTTTTGTCAAGACACAAAGAGTTCTTCTGACAAGATTTTCAAAGGGTTTCTGTCAAGGAACAATGAGGCTGCAATTGTTGGTGTTCTTACTTCAGCAGGAGCTAAGGAGTTGTGCAGTCTGAGCAGGTGCCTGAGTGCAAGGAATAACTCCAGACTGGTGACTGTTAGAACTGAGGCTCTTACCAGTTTGGCCATTTAAAGAGAACTAAGGTAAGTATTACATATGCAAGCCACGAACAACAGCAAATGTGAACAGGCACATAATTTTAAGCACATACCTACTCTTTCAGAGGTTAAAAGAGTTGTTTTCATGATTAAATTAAGCACACGGCACATATTCCATCCTTTGTTGCACTAAATCAGTTTGTAGAACAAAGGCTTTGGTCTTTTAATCAAAGTTATGGAGTAGAAGTAAATCTTCTCAGTTGTAGATTAATTCGTCTCTAGTCGTGCTCCAAGTCCTTTAGGACTTCCTGCTCAGAAGACTTGCAAATTACACTGCACTGGGTTAGATTTGTCTGTTGAGATTGGATAGAGAGCATGCAGAGATCAGAAATGACTTTCTTTGCCTCATGAGTTCCAACACTGTTTTAATCTGACAGGGAGATCCCCTACAGCAAGTCCTGAAACCTGTAAACCAGCTCTGAATATTTAGCATGAAACATTTTTCCTTGCCACTTATCTATTTTGTAGAGACAATATCAGTGTGCATTAACAGCTGAGCACATTGATGTTTGGAAAGCAATTACCTTGATCACCTAAGACTTGGTCTCCTGCAATTTGCAACTTTGAAGGTGTAAATTCTTGGCATGTTGATTTAAAACATAAACTAAGCACCCTGACATGATTGTGTGCAGCCATGTGCCCCCTGTGACAATGCCACAGGGAGAAGAAATAACTTTAAAGCCTGACTATAAGTTTAAAGTTAGACTGGGCTCTTTTGATCTTTCAAAACTTTGTCTCATAAAGAAGGTAAAATCAGCCCTACATGTATTCAAAGCTCTGTTTGAAATGGAGTGTGCTCCATTGATATAGAGCAATTGAATGAAGTGATAGAGAGGGGTTTAACCCCCTCTTTTTTGGCATTATAAGGAGAACAAAACCAAATATCTTCATTATCCTTACAGCCACATCTGGTATTTCAGTTATATACCAGGGACATTTCACTTGAATTTCTATTGTGATCTTAGTCAGAAATCCCAGTGGCAAATCAGACACAATTTTTCAGTTTATCCCATCCAACACATCAGCAACTCATTCAATAAGTTGCTGACCATAGTCAGGACTTTCAGAAGACTGTACATCCCTTTGGTTAAGCAAACACATTTGATGCTGTCTTCAATTATTAGATCAACCAAATACATTCTCTACACATGGAAATCTATACTGCACCTTCCCATAGCACCAGATGAAATTTTACAAGCTTCCTTCTGACTCATTCACAGAAAGAATCAAATAAGCAGAGAAATTAGGTGTTCTCTGTGACAATTAACAGATTCTGCAGTAAAAACATCACTGACAAAACACAAAGGTGTTTACAAACCTTTTGATGGATGAGATACTGAAAGCACCAAATTTGAGAACTAGTTCTTAACCATATTAAAGCTCCACAGCACAGAGCAGAAGGAAATCACTGAGCTGTACCCAGCCATCATCTCAAAGGTGATCTAATGCTGTGATCTAATGCTGCACAGCTCATTCATCTGCCCAGGCAGCTCACTGACACAGTGATGGCCACGGCAGAGGAGGAGAAACAGCAAAACTCAGCTACATCTTTTAAGCCAGCCCTTGGCACAGATGAGAGTGGGGCCTGTCCAGTGACAAGGGCTGCCCTTGGCCAGCTGTCTCTGCACAGGAGCTGAATCAGCCCCAAGGAACTTTCCATCCTTAGCCTAGAAAACCTGATCCCAGCTGTCAGTCTACCTAAGAGATAAGACAGGCTGTTTTACCACAGCACTGCAAGATACCTGCTCCAAAGAAGATCTCCTAAAGTAATTCCAGAAAATGAGAACAGTTGAAGGATCATTTGAGTTTTCAGTAGGCAGACCTGTATTCTGGAAGGTGAGCAGAGGCAGGGGAGTTTTTAAGACGGTTCTGCTGATGGAGAACAATAGAAAGACTGAAATACGATTGGTTGGAGAACAAACTTTGGTGACACCTGATTTATAAATGCAGTTCTGGGGAACACTTCCCCATCAGACAGGAATTACAGAAATTCCACCTTTAGGGAGCTGTAGTTTCAGCTTCCTTAAGCGAAAGATGCAGTAAGAAAGTTGTTACTGTATTATATAAAATAATCCTCTGGCTTTTTTGTCCCTCTTGCCCCAAAGGCATTGCTCTTTCATAGTTAGTGCTTTAACCTGATTTATATGATAAATCATTATATTTTTATTTATCAAGCAAGTAAATCTGACAATGATGAATAAAGAATAGCTGGCAAGGAAAATATCCATGACCCACAAATTGTTCATCCATCCTTTAAAAAAGGGCACAACATTCAAATTGTTCTTGTAATGAAAGAGCTTGCTGAATTCCCTACATAAGTTATAAATCAACTTCTCTAACCCTTAATTAGAGTCACACCACTCATTCTGATTTGTCATTACTTCTATGTTCAAAATACTGTTTATTTTCTTACTGGTATTTTACTGTCCTCTGGAGAGACCACTAACCACTAGAGATATATAGGGAAATGTTTTTCTGCCTTAAGAACATTTTGCATTTGAAAACTCCTCTTCCAAATCCAGACACAGTATTTTAAGTTTTCAAGGAAAAATAACCCCCAAACCATCAGTTTGGTTAAGCTGAAACATTTAGTTGGACACAATTGATGAGAAACATTTCAAAGGTGATATTCATGTTTTCAAACTTTGTAAATAAAATATTAAAAACTAAAATAATTTCAAACCAAGAAACAGAATCTAAATGGCAATATAAAGAGCTTTGATGATCTTAAAACGTAGAAAATTGA